GAGCAGGTAGATTATGATCGAGATACCGACAACGATGATGATCTGGATGACGAAGAGCAACCTCCCGCAGGAAATCCGAATCCGAAGGCGATGCCACATCCGAAACTGGTTCCGAAGTCACCACCGCCGACATTGAGGCGTGTGTCAAAGGTCAAGCCAGCACCGAAGAATATATTGGATGAGGAGACAGAATCCGACAACAATCCTGGTGAACGACCTGCACTTCTAAGGCGACCAGCGATGCGGACAACTCTCACATCCAACGATCAGTGGTATGTAACAGAAGAATCAGATACCGGCATCTACCTCCAGAGGATATCCGTACATCCAGGACCTTTCGGGAATTCTCGATTCCTCAACTTCGTGTTCGAATACTGCAAGGAGTGCTCTACCATCCTCGACGCGCTTCCGGAATTCCACTTCATTCCTGAGCATGAACGAGAACATGGAGCCAAGGCATTCTGGTTGAGAGCCAGATTCAATGATTACTGGCAGCCAACACTTCAAGGTGATGGCCCACATGCAGAGAAACAATACATGGACGCGAGGATTGCGTCGAGGGCGCTCTGGAGCGTGGTCTCGCTGGCGGAGAGCGCGGCGTTCGTGGCGTACGAGGCCAGCAGCGTCGCGTCGGCCTTGGCGCCCTGGAGCGCCGTGATGCTGGCGTCACGGCTGGCAAGCTGCGCTACGACGAAGGCCTCGGTGGCGAGACCCAGCAGGGCATTTGCTATCTTCGTGTCCACCTCCAGTGGAGTGTCCAACCCGTCCACCGTGGAGAGCAGGGCTGGCTGGGCGTTTCTCAGGGTCCCTGTCACCGGGCGAACTACTGAAAAAAAAACGAACCCCCCTCCAGACCCATAAGCCAGGACTTCTCCTGATGGCTATGTTCCCGGATTATGGAAAGGCACGTTTCGAGATTGCTTTCGTGTATCCATCCGTGGACGGGTCATACAATGAGCGCAAGGCCAAGGGATGCATTGTTCCAAGGAATCGATGGATCGACAACCTCACATCCAGATCCGCATGTGATGCACTCAGGCCTAATGGCAGAGAATTCCTCAATGATCCAGAGATGGAATTCTACGTGAGATGCAACAGCGGTCATACTCGACAAGTCGATCTCCAATCCTTTGGACGCCCCCTTTGGTCTGGACAGAAGAGTGAACCTCATCAAGAAGAACCGGACTACGATCTTCCAACAGAATCCATTCCTCCAAGTCCGCATCCTTCAAGATCCGACGCGCCCCATGAAGATGAAGGCACAGCCCAGGCAAAATACAGGCCGGCACCACCATCCATTGAAGAAGAGAGAAAGATCAAGCCGTTCGCGAAGAAGCCCATCACGTTCATGTTCCATGCAACATATGGAGATCTGCTGATCAGCATCATGGAGAACGGGCTCAAATCTGGGAAATCCCAGTCAAACCCTTCAAAGAGAGTGCACATCCACATGGCACGCATCGACGGCGTTATCCTCGACGACGACGCGTCAGAAGCAGCATTGACACATGTGCCAACAGGAAGAGATGCATTGTTGATCCTTGCATTCCTCAAGGACCAGGACTATGGCATCCGACTCTCCGAAGAGCGAACAGCATTGACAGAACAAACCATCGAGGCGAAGAATATTGTTGCAGCATTTGATTCTGATGGGAACATCATAATGAGCAACAACTGGATCATGAAGAAGAATCTCGGTCGTGAAGACGTTGAGATGTACAACAGCAAGATCCATGAATTCGCCGATGCCTTCTTCAAATACGTGAATACCGACCAACAAAACAAGGGAAAATCCGAAAAAGATACATCCACAGAGACCAAGAAGCGACGGCACTCCACCGATCAGGACGAAAATGATGAGGAGAACATGGAACCCTCCGGGGAGAGATCCGTCAAGCGGAAGGGCACCATGGAGTATCGCAATCCCGAGAACCTAGAAGAGTTCATCAAGGAATTCAAGGAGATATACCTTGAAATAGACATGAACAAGAAGGACGCCGAGGAAGAGCTCCAGGAGACCAAAGAGAACTTCATCCGCTTCATGGAGAAGTACAACAGGGATCCAAAGAGAGCTCATCCCAAATTGACAGAATGCGAACGAGCCTCATTGGCACATGTCGATCCAGATGTCAACCTTGAGGAAGAAGTATTCTATTTCCACCATCGAGGAGAATGGCCATCCATGGAAGAGTTCAGGAAGGCACAGCCAGTATCAGGATATCCGATCAAGCTTCCAATTGGATTGAAGAAGCTCAAGGCATATGACAAACCAGAGGTCATCCAAGCATTTGCTGATATCCTGGGATCGCTGATGCAGCCAACTGACCGTTCCCCTGTGGACCATCTCCGGGCACATGAGTTCACCTCATCCATGACGATCAACATGCTCACCATGAACCACGGAAACCTTACGAGGAATCCAAAGCTGGACAACAAGGAGGTGAACAACATGGCAATGAAGGATCGACCAATCGTGAAAATGATGATGCAGAACAGCGCGCGCATCATCTGCTTAAATGAAGCAGACGCATTCCTCAGTCCTCAAGACGAGAAATCCAAGGAACTCATCAAGACGTTCATCCGGTTTGGATACAAGGGCATAGTTATCAAGCAATGGTCATCCAGACGAATCGCATGCTTTGTCCGCGGCGGACCTTCCGCAAGAGTGGAACTATTGGCACGGCACATTTCCACAAGGAGTCAAAACTGGGGAACTACATTCGGTATGTTCAGATGCTTCTTCGGAACCGAGAACCATTGCACTGATGCCGAATACGACATCCCGACCTCTGACTGCCTGGCAACCACAGGAACATCCATGTTCATGGAATCCAAGAAGTACATTGGACCGAGGTTGCCGCCACGCACAACTGTCCAAGGACATGGGCGCAACAAGGAAATTGTCGTCATGCACATCGAGCAAGGTGATGAATTTCGTGGCGTGTTTCCAAAGTCATCCAAGGACTCACTCCTCGAATTCGACAGCCGCCATTTGACGAGGGCAGACCTTCCGTTTGCTACCATTGGAGTTTTTCACATCCATCCAGCAATCAGCCATGGAGCAGCACGGGACGATTTTCAAACCGAAATCATGCCGCTCGTGACATTGTATAAATGCGATGCGATCACCGGAGACGCCAACAAGTCCGCGAACACCTACAGCAAACTCCAACATGTCTACAATCCGGCCAACGGTCTCATGAATATCCTCATGAAGGCATAACAGAGATTGTGGAATGAAACGCAGACCTTGCCATTCGTGGACAGAATGGAATATGCAATGGAGACTTCCTGCACCCTGAAATCCATCGTCCGTCATCACCTCTACATGAAGACTGGATCCGGGTTTGATCGAACATTCCCAGATGTCATGATGACTTTCGTATTTGGATGGGGCAAGACAAACATCCAGCAGGATTTCCGGAAGGAAGAGATGAACGCAATGAAAGATGATCAACTGGAAACCATGCGGAACGATCCTACGTCTGCCATTTTCGACTATCAGGTCTCATCCGCGGAACGCTTCAAGCTCGTGAACAACGAGATGTTCATGAATGGCTCTCAAGATTCCGATTCACACAGTCCGCTGATGGTCTACATCCGCAGCAGATCTGCCACCAAGCAGCGAAACTTTGAGCGATCCAAGGAGTACCTCAAGACGAAGCAACCCTGGACTCAGCAAGAGTACAAGGAATACAACAAGCAGCAGTGGGGCAATCCGAAGCAGTGGAAGGACTACGGCGACTCGACCTGGAACGACTACGGAGACTACGGCAGTCAATCCGACAGCAGCTATCGGTGGTACCGTTGACTATCTGATGAAGCTGCCACCTCTGGCATGCATTCGACCTCCTTTGGTCTGAGTGATCCGCCAAGGAAAGAAGTTTTTCTGAAGCTCGACTGAGAGAACAACCGAAATCGACACTACGAATTTCAACCGAATTGATCCTCACCGCCAACAAGACTATTCAGTGAGAGATCAATAGTTTCACATCCGTCCCGCATGTACATAGCGTTGCACGTCATCTTTTAGATACATCTAGGTATCTCACAGAATCAGTACAGACTGTTTCCCATTTTGCAAATCAAGACAGTTCATCCGCGCAGAAAACAGGATGAATTCAGTATTTCAAACACATGGCTACGGCATAAATCAAGGCTACGGCCGAAGGCCAAGAAGCCAAAGATATTTCATATCTAGTGCCGGCGATCAAAAGAAATTTGTGTCTGTTTTGTGTCTATTTTTGACCAATGTTGATCGCCTGCAACCATTTGGCTCAAGGCCCTTCTGTACCATAGCAATACTCATGATTGCGTGACAAAGGAACTTTTGCAGGCCGCTTACAGGATTATACCACAGGACAATCCACCAGAAACAATCCATCCTCCAATCATCCATATTGGCATATTGGACTCTCTCCGGAATAGATCCAGGGACCACATAAACGACCTCTACTACCACAGGGTACCAGTTCCCTTCTGGGATAGGCACCCCCGGCAGTGGGCCTCACCCCACCCCCCCGTATGATTGCTCGCCGCAAGCAACAAGCTCAGCTGCTTTTTGGGCGACGCGCTTGGGAAATGAGCAAGACAATTTCCATGATCCAGCAATTTTCAATGGGAACCAAGCTGATTCATGAATTGGTGTGAGCTGGAGAGTGCTTGCCTTTGATGAGGGTGGAGCGCATATTTCGTTGACAGGGCCTTTGGACGGACTGTAGCTGGCAGGCCCCAACTCAAAATACGCAGCTGCCCAAATAGTGCAAGGTCAACCCTTCCCACAAAGCGTGGGCCTATTCGGCCTTAGGGTAGTCAATGTGGTTGCGAACCCAGTAAACCCGGTTAGGAGGTGTACAGAGGCTACAACGCCATCCAAACCCCAGTGTCGGCCAAGAAGGGTTCATACATCAAGTCAAAGGAAATGTAATCTCGGACTACTCTTGGAGGTCTATGAACAGTTCCTTTTGATTGGAGACGGGCAGGGGCCCGCGCCTGGAAAGGTTCGGACCGTGCGCGAGAGGAGCGGGTGGAGGCAAGCCACCTTTGATGTCGAGCGAGTGCCAGCGTTCAGAACCACGTCAAAACGCACGGTTGGCTGCGGAGGAATGTGGAGGACATGCGCAAATTAGAGGAGGAATCAGCCCTGAATAGCATGGTCCGTTTGGATCTAGATCAAAGATTGGTAAGGATGGCCATGAACCCACTGGGAGCTTGGAAATGCCAATATCAAAAGGCACCTTTGCAAGGCGGCGCAAGGCAGAACCAGGTTCCAAAGGGTGCCATAGTCATGTGATTCTTTTGGTTCCCTCCCCAACCTGTGAGACCAACCACTATTTCTGTCTTCAAGTTTAGAGGCTTCGACTGGTTAATTTCGGTGTCCCAATCGTATGTTCACGGGTCAGTCGTCACTGAAAGGGGTTGGCATTCCCGCGGTTTCAGGTAGCCCATTCGCACCAGAATGGTCCACACGCCGGAGGCCGGGGGCGGCGGCCCCGCGCCCGCGGATCCCGTGCAGGCGCGTCATCTCTTTGCATACTGGCTTCCTTTACTTTAGTCCAAACGGTGCATTGTTTTTAGGTTCCTCCGCAGCACTACGCCAAATACTGCATAAAATCCGTTGACTTGGGGTAGGGAGTGTGAGTGGCTGATTTTTAGGGGGTGGTGGGCGAACGAGCAGGGTACGGCAACTTGGGTTCCCAAAAAGCAAGCACACACACACACGTGTCTGAATGTCAAAAGGCAAGCCCTGAACCCTCCGGCCTCCCATCTTGGGATCTTGGGTCTCTTTGCTGCCAACTGAAGGTTAGGGGACTTCCTACCATCCCTTGGGGTTTCAGCGCCTCGGGTCGCCGCCTGAGAGCCGAAGTGTCGGCCGAACTTGCTGCTCTCTGCGGAGTTTGCGCCGCCTGTCAGGCTCTCTCCCTCACCGAGGACCGCTTTGGGATTCGATTCGGTCCGGGCCGATTGAAAGAGTTAGCGATCGCTTCTTGGAGGCATGCTTGTACGCTTACGTGTTTGCAGACCCCACCGCCTTGTTGACAGGGAGACGCACCGCGTGTCTGCGTGGCTTCAAGAGCCTAGAACGAGAGCTGCCGGCTGAGGCAAGGGCAGGCCTCGGCTACAGCCAAGAGGCAAGTGAGTGGCCTGCTTGCTGGGAGGCCGGCCAGGCAGAGAGCCTTGCCTTGACTCCAAGAGAGCAGCAAGTTTGTGGGGTTGGGGACGGGGGTTGGGAAGATCCCGATCTGGGAAACAAGGCGAATTGGGGTGCAAAGAAGCGACGTTTGTGCCTGGCCATGCGTACGCATGTTTGAGGGTAAGGCAATTTTCCAGGGGTGGTTTTTCTGAGGGCCAGAGCTACAGCCGTAGTCAGGTCAGGCAGCCTCTCAGCGCGAGCCGCCTGGAGAGCTGGTTGGCTGCTGGGCCGAGGCGAAATATTGTAAACGCTTTGGGCCAGATGCTTGCTTTCAGCAGGAGGTAGTGGCTTGAAGGCGTTGCAGATAGCACAAACAGCGCGCGCTGATAACTGAGTACCTCCTGCGCTGCAGACATTCATGCGGCGCCTTGCGTCCCTTAGAAAGTCGTGCGGCCCTCATGCTTGGACGCACCAGCCCGCCACGCATGTCACATGTTTGGCAGCAGCGTGCCAAATGGCAGCCACATTTGAGCGCGGCGTTGCCTTCATGGTTCGAGCCAAACAGACCAAATTTGGGACCAGCCGCTGCGTCTTTGCGCGGGTCAAGCCAGGGGCGCCTGCGCTTTAACAGTTGGCTTGTGTCAGTTGTGTCATGGCTGGCGGGACATCGATCCTTTCTTGGCGCTGTGTGTTAAGACATATCGTGCTGGAAGAGAAGTAGACGGCAGTGTGCGGTCGCAGCCAGAAGCGAGGCACGGATTTCTGGAATCCTTCTGCGGAAATCGACCCATGTTTGGTTCTTACTCTTCTGGTCGAGCGTGCGCACTTTCTTGTCTCTCAGTCTGTGCCTCCATTTGTCCACCAGTGCTTCCAGATCGCCGGGCCGCATGCTCGCAGGGTGCGCAGTTACTTGCTTCCCAGTGTGCGCAGAAGCGTGTTCATGGTTGGCGCACAAGAGGGTTCCTTCATTGTTCTCGCATAAGCGTGTTTACTCTCGACGCAGAAGAGTATTCATTCTTATTGTTGGTGCAGTAACATGCGCAAGAGTGTTCATGGCTATGCATAAGCAGGTTCACTGTCGGCGCACAAGAGCGTTCATTGTTGGCTCATAAGCGTGTTCGCTGTCGGCGCGCAAAATTTCTCACTGTTGGCGCATACGTGTGCTCATTGTCGGCGCGCAAGCGTGTTCGTTGTTGGCCCAGAGCTGCGTTCGCTGTCGGCGCGCAAACGTGTTTGCTGTCGGCAGAGAACTGCTTCACGGTCGGCGGGCAAATCTGTTCCCTGTGTTCACTGTCGGCGCGCAAAAGTGTTCTGTGGCGTACTATAGTACTATGGTGTTGCACAAACGTGTTGTTGGTTAGCACATAAGCGTGTTCGCAGTCGGCGCACAAAAATGTTCATTGTTGATGCTGAGGCGAGTTCACTGTGGGAGTGCGAAAGTGTTCATTTGTGGTGCACGTCACTGACGGCGCGCAAAAGTGTCCATTGTTGGTGCATAAGCATGCTCACGGTTGGCGCACAAGAGTGTTCATTGTTGGCGCATAATCGGGTTCACTGTCGGCGCGCGAAAATGTTCATTGTTGGCGCATAAGCGTGCTCACCGTCTGCGCGGAAAAATGTTGATTGCCGGCGCGTAAGCGTTCTCACTGTCGGCACCCAAGAGTGTTCATTGTTGGCGCATACGTGCGTTCTCGGTCGGCGCGCAAGTCTTTGGAAGTGGTTCTCGTTTGGAGCTGTTCTGGACATTGCAAACTCCGTTTCAAGTGCGAGAAAGAGGCTTGCCCGTTTCCAGCGTGATTGTGGTTGGCTTGACCTGCGTGTTGACAGGCTTGTTTACAAATCTGCATGGGGTCTACGCCGGTATGTTTTTTCCGGCTTGCAACTTATCGTAGTGAGCTTGTTCAGGTTCCTTTTCGGCACAGGCTATGTGTGAGACAAGGGCAATTTGGACTCTCAACGACCTCTAAAATGGATTTTTGCCAACAGTTTCTTGGTGTTTCCCCGGTTTAAGGTTTGTTGGAGGGTCCAAGCAAATCGTTCCACCCTGCAGCATGATTGGGGTTCTGCAGGTCTCGGTGGAATGGGTATTCTGCTGCTGGCTCAAGGAGCTGTTCCCAAAGCTGCCGGCTTGCACTTTGGGAGATGGCTGTCCGCGCAAGTGTCCAAGCAGGTGCTTCCAATCGACCGCGTCCAGGCAAACGTAAAACCTTAGTCAGTTCATGTATCATTGTTGGTGAGATGGTCGCAACACGTTTGGCTCTTCGCCCTGCGCATGATGACCGCACGGTTGCAGAAAACATCTGAGCTTTGATCCTGCAACAGGCTTTGCGTCCAAGCCTGTCCCAACATGTGAGCATGACGGCATTGCCTCTTAGTCAGCTGGCCAAGCCTGATGCTGGAAGGACTGCGCTGAAACATGGCGCGCGCCGCGCAGACACCCGTGGCGCTGCAAGTAGCCAGCGCCTGTCTCACGTAGCTTTGCCATCGAATGTGAGGCAGGGCAGTTTCATGCACGGCTTGGACCTTTAAGAAATGAGCTTCATGCTCCGCGTGAAACAGGCTTCATGCCCGGGCAGCTCTTTCGCACCCGGTGAGCCTGCTGCCAAAGGCTGTTTGTGATTGCGCCGCACGGATGTTTGCTGAAGGGCATCATGTTCTTTGTCTAGCGAAAAGATCTTGAACAAAACACAGTTGACTAGCGAAGCTGTGCCCAGACCCTGCAAGCGCCTGTGACCAGACCAGGCTGGCATAGACCCGAGCCTCGACCATTTGAACGAAACGGGCTCTTGCCAACCGCACCTGCGTGTTGACGGTTGGTGGCCGTAAACACCTCCAACAATGTCCAGGGCTTGATCAACGAGCTTCATAGTGTCACATGGTTGGCACCACTCCCTGTACAGCAGGTTCCATGGCCGCTCCAGCGGGTGGCTGTTTGGACTTGCAAGCGAGAAGACAAATCGAATTCGGACCCATTGCGCTCCGTGCAGGCAAAAGCCATGTGGAGCCCGACAAGGCCGCCCAACGCTGGCAGGACTGTGCTTCAACATGGCACGAGCCACACAATAGGTGAGTTCGATCGCCTGCTTCTCATGGCTACGCGGTTGCACTAAACATTCGCCCCCAAAGTGAGCTTTGATCCTGCAAGAGGCTTTGCGTCCAAGCCCGTCCCAACACTTGAGCGTTACGGCGTTGACTCCTAGTCAGCTGACCAAGCCAGATGCTGGCAGGACTGTGCCTAAACATGACACGACCACACATACACCTCTGCAAGTAGCCAGAGCGTGCCTCACGCAGCGTTGCCATTGAGTGTCAGACAAAGCAATTGCGTTCACGGCTCAGACTTTCAATCAATGAGGGCAGAAAGCTTCGTGCCAAGGCAGCGCTTTCGCACGCGGCGAGTCTAAGGCTGTTTGTGATGCGGTTGCGTGTCTGGTGGTCGGTGGCGCACGGATGTTTGCAAGGCAGAAGGTAATCTGCCCGCATCATGTTCTTTCGCTAGCGAAAAGAACTTGAACACAACACAGTTGACTGGCCAAGCTGTGCCCTGTCCCAATGTGAGCATGACGGCATTGCCTCTTAGTCAGCTGGCCAAGCCTGATGCTGGAAGGACTGCGCTGAAACATGGCGCGCGCCGCGCAGACACCCGTGGCGCAGCGCGTGCCTCACGTAGCTTTGCCATCGAATGTGAGACAGGGTGGTTTCATTCACGGCTTCGACCTTTGAGCGGTGAGCTTCATGCTCCGGGTGTGCGTGTCTGGAGGTGTGCGCCTCACGGATGTTTGCTGCCCGCATCATGTTCTTTGGCTAGATAAAAGAACTTGAACAAAACACAGTTGACTAGCGAAGCCGTGCCCGGAACCAGAGCATAGCATAGCCACATGCCCGGACAGTTTGAAAGGAACGAACGCTTGCCAGGCGCTTGCCAGGCATTTTGAAAGAAACCACTGGTCTGGGTAAAAAAGGCACCTTGTGTAAGTTCAATGAAAAAATCATTTAGTGTCACCGAATCCTCTCTCTGAGACCACTAATGTTTTTGGCTTGATTTGAAGGGACATAAGCAGACCAAACAAAGAGGAACGAAGGCACAGCGGGTGTTGGGGTCGGTAAGCGTCGGGTTTCCCTTCAGACCTTTCCCGGGATGTCGAACAGGCAACACCATCCGTGCAGCAGGTTCCACGCCTGCCACAGGGCTCTTGTTCTGCCATATTTCTGGACTGCGCGGTCAAGCAAGCATGGCGGTGCACGGATGTTCTCAGTGCAAAAGGATGCAAGAGAAAATTCATCAAAGGGCCCGTTCGGGCGAGCCCTGTGCGGTTGCTGGTGTTAAAAGCTCACGAAGAGGGGGCCTGCCAAAACAGCTACAGCTGACATAAAGCACACACACACACACGTTTTTCCCAATATAACCACGAAGAGCCTACTATGCCCCTATTGGGGCCCATGGGGACCAGGCCCAATAGCTCCCACTGCCCGAGCAAGGGTTTCAGCAAAACATGTGCAATGCAATGTGGCAATGTTGTTCATTCAGGGCACCTAAATCATTACTTGAGCGTTGGGTGGTGTGGGCAAAACGAGAAGTGCGCAATTTTTGATGGATCATTCAAATCGAGTTTGCACCTTGTGCAGGCAAAAAGGCCCGGACGAAGCCCAATAACGCTGAATAGGTGCCTAAAGCTGCCAATTAAGACCCAATAGCGTGCTTGACTAGGTAAGCCTGGCCTGGACCCTGCTTCCATGATTCAAATCCAATTTGCACCCTGTGCAAGTAAAAGGCGTGACGAGGCCGGAGCGGACCCTG